AGCAAATACCCTTCCTTCCTTCATCCATTTAGAGAGTCGGCTAACACTTTCTACAGCAAAATAGGGTTGCTTATAAGTAATAATAATGATAAATAATATTTTCGAATATATGACACACAACGCCATCTAGTTTCAAGCAAAACATTGACAATATTTTAGTACTTAACCTCGAAACATTCAAAATCCAATATCTTTTTTCCTAGACTTCTTTCGCTAGTAATTTTTTTTGAGAATGTTCAAGAATAAATTTTCAAGGGTTATAGGCATTTTTGATATTTAAACGCTGTCATTTCACTTCAAATAAAATTATGTATGGGGACCTGCCATTGTCCTTTAGAGTTCAATTTGAAATGGAAATTGGGTAAGTTGGGAGCGCAATGGTAGGAAAGGAATATTGCTCATACGAATGGATTGTAGAGGCTTGTGGCTAAGTGTTGATAGAGTAGGTTAACACATTGCAAAGTTAAGCAATCCCAGCCAGGCCAGTTTATGGATGGGTGACCATTATTAACGGTGACTAAGTGCATCGGAGAGCACGTTTAGCCGTCGGTTCTGGTTACCATACGAACATCTCTGGCGATGGTTTCGGACAGTTGGAGCCGAAAAGTTCGAAAACAGTCTTTCTACAGAACTTTGATATCGCCTAGTACTTGCGTTGTGGCGGTCTTATAGCAGTCGTTCCGTTCGGCTGTATTGTGGTAATCTTAATGCTTACCCTAACCTTGTTTAGGTATAAGGTTTAGAGGAAGGATGAATTAGGGATTGTAAGTAGTAGCTCTGTAAGTCAGTAACGGAACCTAAACTGATTGTAGTCTAAACTAAATGTATATCCTTGTTAACATTTGTCAACACACGGTAGTAAAACGCATTCAACTTCTTTCTTTGTCTTTTTGACGTGACAACGTCTTATAATTCGATGGAGCTGGCTGCACGCACGAAAAAACATGACTCATGCGGCGTTACCTCGCTCTGAGGCGTTCCATTTAAGGCTTGAAGTGCAAGCGAGAGCGCGGACCGAGCGACAAAGAGGCACAATCGGCCTCCGCGTTTGGCAGTGTTCGACACCTGTCTAACAAATAAAATTAAAATTTTCTTTTGAAAAATGCAACCATTCCATTAGTATTTTCTTATGACGTTGTCACGTTAAACTATCGTCAGTAAACCGACTTTACAGACAACCGATTTTTTTTTTCTTTTGGTGTCGCGATGGTAAAGCCAGGAGTATGTGGTGAAAACTAAAACTACAAAACACTAAAAACCACCCCGACGGCCAGTCTTAGGCGCCCAGGCAGTTTTTTTCCCGTGATTATTTCTTATTTTGAGTTTTTTGTTTGATAGGCCTGTTGGTCTAGTGGTTAGTGCCACCCAGATAAATATTGTGTGATGAACTTGATCATTTGTTCTGTGTCTGGGTGTAATTTATCTATAATATGTATGTATTAAAAAATATACAAGTATGTTTATCAGCAGTCTGGTTACCATAGCACAGGCTCTGCCTAGTTTGGGATCAGACATCCATCATCATCACATCAACAGCCTTTAATAGTCCACTGCTGGACATAGGCCTCTCCTTAGAAAGGAGGGATCAGACGGCCGCGTGTAATATGTGTGAGGTATATATTATATATTATTTTATAACTTTGAAAATGATAATCATCCATACAACCGTCCATGCCTTAATTTACCCCCTTAGGTGTGAAATTTCCAAAAATCTTTTCTTAGTGGGTGCCTACAACATAAAAAGCATCAACTGCCTTCAAGTTTGTACTAGCTGCCTAGCTGCTTTGAACTTTAAGTTTGTGTCCCTAGTGGCTTAGGCTCTGTGTTGATGAATCAGGCAGTCAGGGCTAGCAGATTTTTATGTCTTGATTTTAGCTTAGTTTGTTAGCGACCCGCCCCTTTTTTTTCTGTGTGGAAATCCTCTCGGATACCGCTTACCGGTGGCAATGTCGGTCTCGAACCGACTAAAACCGCACGCCGTCTCAGGTACCAGTAGTCGGGGAACCAGGTGTACCCTAGAAAGGAAATCCCTGGTGCAAGCGACCCGCCCCTGCCTTGCACGGGTGCAGTGTATGACATCACATTACAAATCTTTGGAATTCTCGGATTTTGTCTACTATAATATGCATGTACAAATTCCCAAACCTATTTTATAACAACCCCATTTAATCACTTATAGGGGTAGTTTTGCAAAATTATTAAAAACGTTTTTTAATACTTTTAATAGAAAGTATTCATTGTGAGTTTGAGAACTCAACTAATGAAAAATCGTCGAACTACAATCTAAGTTCGTTTGAAATTCGACGCTGTGGCTCTGCTGTTGCAGCGTTGTACGCAAGTCTGTTTCCTTAGAGAATAGCACTGGAGATATCTAGTCCCCCATTCACGTATACGTACTCAAAGGGTGGCTACGCACTTGTGTCTCTTGAATTGCAAGTGCTTATTTTTATGGTATAAGGAGGCAAACGAGCAGCCTGACGGTAAGTAACTACCGCCGCCCATGGACACCCGAAAGTTTTTGGGGTCGAGTCGAAGGGATTGGAATTTGGTAACCTCATTCACTCGGTGAAAAGAAATCAAAGAATAGTAAGCTATTCTTTGGTTGCTTTTTACTGAGTTACACCGGTTTTATTTATTTTTATTTATATCTTTATTGTATAAAGTTAACAAATAAGTAACTTGCAAATATATAGACGGAACAATCGGCGGTTTTATCGCTCACGGTTTTCTGTGGGGCCGTGATATCATTACGGTCCAGCCGACCAATTCCTGCCGAAGTATGGCTCTCCTACGTTTCCATGGACGGCGAAGTTCGCCCCCTATATCAGAAATAAAATAGTAAAACGCGTATTTTGACCACTCAAACCACTTTGACCAATTAGACGAAACTAGGTTTCAATATGAATTATATACTTTCATTATATTTAATTGACACAGTTAAAATTTAGGCGCTTTTCAACACGCTTACATTGGCTTCCCTCATAGCCAATTAACTATGTAAATAATTCTTGGACGGGAATTTCAACCTACTTTTAATTTTCGTATTGGAATGTAACTTTGTAGTTTGTATAACAACACTATAATTTGTAATCTGGCAGCTAATACGTAGTTGGGGCCAAGTAGAGCATTTCACATGTGGAGTTTACCTGCAATTGATCGTTACACAAATAAAAAATACGCAGGACAACAGCACTGCAAAGAGAAGGAAAACTTGATACAAACCCTATACTAACCCGTCTGGCCAGCGTGGTATAGTAGGCCAAAACCTCCTTTCTAAGGAGAGGCCTATGTCCAGCAGTGGACTATTAAAGGCTGATAATGTGATGCTGATGATCGTTACACTATTACTTTTAAACTTATAATTGCATAAAATGGTAGGTTCTCTACAATTGTTAGAAAGAAATAAAATATTTATTCAACCCCAAAGAGACCATATTATAGGTATATATGTAAATATTTCTATGTACTTATAAATAACAATAACACAAATGGTGTGTACCTCCCAGTAGCGCTGAATAGGGAGCGGTTCAGTGTATGACTGGCAGAGCCTGGCGCCGTATTTCAACTACACTCTATTGGGAATTCCAAGATGGTGAACCAGTTTTATTAAAATTACTTGAATTATTTAGATGTTAGTGATTCATAAAGTAAAAAATAAGAAGGTTAAAAGCGGAACTCTTCAGGGACCACTGAAAAAAGAACCCTTTATAGTATGATTACTTTGTGTATATGGTTATTTATCGTTCTTTGTTTTATCATTTAAATAGTGCATTGCGTATTAGAAAGTTTTATTAAAAAAAATTGAGAAACAGATTTTGGAGGAGCATTGCAGGAGTATTTGTATCATCATCATCATTATCAGCCTAACGCAGTCCACTGCTGGCCATAGGCCTCTCCCATTGCACGCCACTTAGATCGATTTTGGGCTTCTCGCTTCCAGCTCCTGCCAGCCATCTTGCGCAAATCGTCACTCCACCTGGCCTGTGGGCGTCCTACACTACATTTGCATTTGTATTACCATTTATAAATATAAATTTACTTACTAGAGCAGCAGAGACAGGCCGTACAGTAAACCAGGAAAAATCTTCTAAAATCTATTTCAGAAATAGTTCATCTCGGATCAATGTTCGACAACTAGTACTTAGTAAGACTTACGCTTGTCCTTGTAAAAGAAATCGTATCTAATACTTCAATGTGAATGCCAGAGAATGGATTATCTCATGAAAGTATTGTATTCGCAGTTACAGACTACAATTAGCCTCAGATTATTTTAGGTTCATAATCAACAGCCTGTAATACTCCACTGCTGGACATAGGCCTCTCCTTAGAAAAAGGTTTTGTCCTACTATATTACACTGGCCAGACGAGTTGGTATAAGGTTTGCTTCAAGTTTTCCTTATCTTTGCAGTTCCTGCGTAGTTTGTTAGTTTGTTTCCTGCGTTGTTAGTCGGCTCTTTGGTCTTGTTAAAAGATCTGAGTTGTATCGCAAGAGTTGTTTCAATAAGCTTCTCTCTCTCTCTTTTGGTCACAGGTTATCCTATCTCATTCCAAAAACATAACGAAGAGCAAACCGTATACGTTTCTGGAAGCCTGGCTCGGAACTGGTTTAAGCACGGGTTCGTATTATTATTATTTTTTCCGAATTGTGGAGGTTTCTACTGATAGAAACCGAATGAATGAGGTCACGGAAGGCCTCCGTACTTAGTATGTACGTAAAAGATTACGTGCAGCTGATGGTTAGAATAATATGGCATCGTGGAAGTTTGTAACGCGTTCGAGTTCGAGTTGAAATTATAACCATATACTCAGGTATACAGCCTCTTGAAGCTTTGAAAAACTAAAACTTCTAAATTAACGTAATACAAGATACACCAGTTTATGCAAAATTTAAATTTAAGGAAGACTAATTTGTAATGAAATTTTCAACAGGTTCCAAATGGCACAAACGTCAAAAGATTCTGACCCCTACCTTCCACTTTAATATCCTGAAAGGCTTCACCATGGTGATGGAAGAACGGAGTCGAGCGCTGGTGGAAAAGTTGAAGACCATGGACGGCAATGAAGTCAACTTGCTGCCATACATTAGTGACTGCACTCTTTGTACTATCTGTGGTAAGGTATTAATTAAGTAGCTTCTTATTTAACGGCAAATAAAAACTCAGCATATAATCAATTTACAGGGTATTTAAAAACTCGAAAGACTCAGACGGCCGAGACGAGCACCGAATTCTTGTGAACAGAACAGAGCATTTAATTGATTAAATGCTGAGTAGGTACTGTTCACAAGAATTCGGTGCTCGAAGTAGCAGGAGTAGTATAATTGGATTTGGCCGTAAATACTAACAGTAATATATTTGTTTTGAATAATTACAAGAATATACAAGAGTATTGTGCTAAGGTCTAACAAAATCGACCACAAATTCAATTTTACAGAGTAAACAGAGATTTTATCTTTAAAAAATAAATCAAAACTTACTTTTATTTATAGTTAAACGTGCTCTTACTCGTACATGTAATATTGTGTCTCGTTGTTGATCTTAAGATTCAAGGAATCTCATAAATAACGATAATAATTTCACGGACAGTCAATTATGTACTGTATCACCTTTGAAAATAAATGATTGCACTAAAAAGATGGAAACGGGCGATTGTAGATCGGTATAGGCATATAATACTCGTAGATTTTCTATACTTATATTTTGCTAAATATTTAACAAAAACAGATTGTTGCTATTACTCTTGTCTTTGACTTTAGATTCATTACATAAAAGACGATTCCTACACTGTTCTCGCACACTCTTCTTTGACTTTGTTCACGGAATAAAAAAAGGACACCTCTGTGGTTTGTTTCGACATTTCTTCCCAGAGTTAGTCTTAGGAAAGCTATAAAGTCCGACTTGTAAAAATATCTGAAAAAAAATAACTTACAGAAAAAGTTTAATGAAATATATATTGAAGCCGCCGATGTACAAAAGTACATAAAGTTAAGTAAATAAATAAACATTAAGGTTCTTTTGACTTTGATTTTGAAATTCTAGGTACCGTGTCACATTTGATTGAATGCTAATGAAATAAGTCTTTGCTGAGTAGAGACGCTAATATGTTTTTTTGTTTCCCCTCACGTTTAAACCACGATGAGGGGGAGTTAATCACAATGTGGTACATTCTGCAACTTGATCCAGAAATATAATGTGTGTATTGCTGTCTGAATTTAAGCAATAATACTTATTAAGTTAAATAGTACACAGGTGATGGGAGACAAAAGTGAAAAAAATAAATAATAAAGGATCTATTTTGAAGCCAAGGCCAAGACTTAATACCGCTTGTGGGTGCTTAAAGTTACTAGGTACGTTTTTATATTATTATTTTTTACTAAAGATACAATACAAAAAGAGGATAAAGGCTTTTGAAAAGTAAGGTAGGATAATATAAATGAGGGAACATCAACGTGTGCCACGCGATCCAAATAGACGTACGTACACAAACCGCTTTTCGCTTCTAAGTTTGCTCGATCCTTGTTTTGATGATAACACTATTAAACAAACGTTTGAAATGCATAATTATATTTTGAGATACCCGCCCTACATGTTTCTTTTTTATTTTTTTTCTTATATAGTGTGTGTGAATCAACTTTACTTAATCAGGTATTGGTAATGCTCGTCTTTCGTTTCGTTTGGTCGTGATTTAATTTAATTCTTATTAATCTATTATATCAATTACGAAAGGCTGATTTCATTTATTTATATGAAAATACGTTATTATGCTTGAATTGGAGTATGTTCATTATAAGGTATATCGGGTAAAACAAGTTTTGTGTTAAACTGCATCCTTCATAGGGCTGAACACTGACCCTCAAAATACAGGCACTCGTCTAGTTTGGGGGAGCAGAATCAGTACATCTGAATCAAATAAAGAAAAAATGTTCTAGCTTATATAAAAATGTAAATGTGTAACGTGCTTTGTATTTTCTGAGAAATAAATTTTATTATTAATAATATTTAGTGAATAAAAATAATTACCATTGGGACGCTGTGTCTGAGAGTTAGATCAGTAGACGGCATTGAATAAATGCTGGAGACGTCTGATAATTGAAGCGCACCAGAAATATCAGCAATAGGAATGCTGTTAGTACTGTTTATCAGTTAGCTGAAGGTGGTAAATTGTCAGATCAACTGATGACTGAAGTTTCAGTTTCCTGTTATATGCTATAAAAATCGCTTGCACCATTTCTTTTTGTAGCCTTTTTTTGCCCACAGAAACGGCAATGGGAACGCAATTAGATTTAGACAAATCATCTGCAACCGTAATATATAAAAATGCTATTATTGGAATAGGATCACTGTTTTTAAATCGCCTGACTAGAGTTTGGCTTCACAACAAATTTTTATTCAGAAAATTTCCCATTGGTAAGCAGTTTGAAAAGTGTTTGCACACAGCGCATTCTTTTGCTGAAAATGTTATTATGGAGAGGAAGAAAACATGGAAAGCTGGGGAGCAAACTGTCATCGATGAAATAGGAAGATTGGCCATGTTGGATTTGCTGTTGGAAGCTGAGAGCAAACAGGAAATTGATTTAGAAGGAATACGGGAGGAAGTCAATACATTTATGTTTGAGGTAAGAATTTAGGCTTCTAATCACTTATTGTAATCTTTCTACCATTTTCTCTTCTTAATTTGGGAACCATGCAAAATGTAGTATTGCAAAAGGTTTAGCTGATTTTTTTTATGGCTGGTTACCTGCACTCCAAAGCCAGACCAAGACCAGGTCAGTCTATTCTTAACACATTGAGATTGAGTTTATTGCCAGGAAAGTTACCGAAGACTTCATGTTAGGTAAGAAGATAGTATATATAGAAGGCCAATTCTCGTAACAAAAGTTCAGTCACCATTTAGTTCCGATCAACTCCCGATCTCGCAACTATCTCAAAAGATATTTTATTAGTAAAGTATTAAACATAAAACGCTGACTGTAATAAGATCATATCGTATTAAAATTGTGAATTGAGTATTGTTAAATTTGTGTAAAAGTAAACATTCCTTTTTTAGTATTTTGGATTAGATATAGAAGTTCGGAAGTGAGATTCCTCCTTTCTCTGAGCACAAGTGGCATTCCTCCTCCTAACAAACCTTCTTTGTAAGGAGGTCTATGTAAAGCAGTAGACAGTAAAAGGCTGTTGTGATGATAATAATTCCATTTATAGTGGTTTTATCCAAAACCCCTATTCTCTTTTACTGCAGAATACAATATGCTTATTAGCTTTTCACTGAACTTCGGCTTCGTTAAAAAATTTAGTGTTCAATTTGCTTTGAAAGTAGATTGCATTCACAAGTACATTTTACTATGTTTGACTTACAATTAAAGTGAAATAAAATTTAAAAGTTCGAATAAAAAAGGCTCGCTGTGTACTTTTGAGGTTGTTTACACACAATTGAAATGAGTACGTAATTATATGAGATATTATAGTTGCATATATATATTGAGAGCTTTCTATATACATGTAATTTAAATTTTCTTTATTATAAATTTTCAAAAGACAAGAAAATTTACCTCTAGTTCTATTGTTTGTTATGTTACCAAAGTCATACTGAAGGGTGGGGGGTAGTCACTTAATATCAGGTGACATATCTAATCATTTGTCCTCTATCCAATTAAAAAATGATTCAGTAAGACATTCTTACTCGTACATTCTTCTTAACAGTACACTGTATTTACTAATAGTTACATTATATGCCACAGGTCAGCGGTTCGCGATGTTAGTGATGAAGTGTGTCCTGATTGGGATCTGCCGCAACTTCAGGTTGTTCCCTCGCGTGAAAGGAGCCAAGTCTTTGCTGTTGGCGGACATTTTGCTAAGAACTACAGAGCCTCTGTTCGTGAAGTTTGTTCAGCGTTAGTTTTGGATGACTGCACGGATGGCGTAGTGGAGAACGCGGCTCCCTACTGCTGTGAGTGTTATGAGCTGGATCCCCCCACATGAGTTTTTTGTCCCCAATTTTTTGTCAACACTATGATTTTTGTTATTGATCGAAGTTGATTTTTATTAAAAAAGACAACTCCCGCATTAGGAATAAATCCTGTGTCACGGGGGACTTTACAAACATACATTAAACGGACACAAAGAACATCCAGACTCAAGACAACAATTTGTGAATCAAGTGTCGTCCCATGTGGGGATCGGACCCATAGCACTCAGCGTAGTACTGAGCGGCGTGGCGACCGCTTAAACCACTACGCCATCCGTGCAGTTCTTAGTAAGTAAACCATCAAGTGATAAAAGATGCTGAGTACTTGAGAACCATACGTAAGAAGACTGAAGAGAGCGGTACTAGGACATTATTAAATACTAGCGACCCGCCCCGGCTTCGCATGGGTGCAATGTATTATATATATAAACCTTCCTCTTGAATCTTTCTGTCTATTTAAGAAAACCGCATTAAAATCCGTTGCATAGAAATCCATACAAAAATGATTAAAATAAAAATAACATTCAAACTTTTATTAGTTAAAAGCCTAGACTTCACTTCAGACAATTTCTTTACGGGTCCGGTGGAGTGTAAGCGAGCCCAATATTCCTCAGTTCGCAGTCCTCTTGCATGAAGTCTTTTAGCAGAAGTTTCTTCAACGCCATACGACGAACCTGGATAACAAACACATTATTCCAGCGAGTAGTTAAATCTATCTAGAGGAGAATTCCTTGCCCAATTATCTATAGTTGGAATTCTCCTCTCACAAAATAGGAGAATTATTGGAGGGTTTGAAGCCACGTGCGCTATTCCAACTAGTACTTAGCAGCAAGAACCTTCCCGCCACTTGAAGAACCAAGTAAGTCACATCTGACTTCCTTAAAAGAAGCATGCAGAAGATATAATCTCACGCACTTTTTGTCTCTTCAGTCGCGCGAAAAACTTGTCTAGGTTTTTTTTCCACTGTGCATGTAATTCAGTCACACATACAAGAACGTACCCTGACAATTAGTAGTGTAGATTATAATTGTATAAGAGAAAACAGCCCTGGACCAGCCCAGCAAAAATTACTTTGCCAATAAGGATAACTGTAAGTTCTATTGTTAAGGTGATCTCTTTGTGCCAAAACCAACGTTTCATCGAGAGAAAAGAGTAGATATTGTCCATTGTCTTTCCCAAATAATCATACATTAGTAAAACCATAAGTAAAACATCAACACGGATGGCGTAGTGGTCTAAGCGGTCGTCACGCCACTTCCTACCGTGCTGAGTGTTGTGGGTTCGATCCCCACATGGGACACCACTTAGTGTGATTTACAAATTGTTGTTCTGAGTCTGGGCGTTCTCTGTGTCCGGTGCATGTATGTTTGTGAAGTCCCCCGCGACACAGGATATATTTTTCTATTGCGGGAGTTGTCTTTTTAAAAGAAAACGAAAAGATAACCGACCGGCAGAAACATTAAATGGTAAAATAACTTACGATGATAAGAGGAATCGAGAACCATGCACCGCCATAGTTTAGACTTGAACTATTAAATAACCAACCTTTGATATGGCTTGACCATTGAGTTATTATTTCTTCAATTGATTTTAAATTCAAGACTTTTTTGAAAAGATTCACCAAGTTATAAGTAAAATTGCAAAATATAACTAACAGCTAGAGTCTGTAATTTAGCCTGCCGCAACTCTTCGCGAATGAACATCATTTCAGGGCGAAGATTTTGGTGTGAAAGTGGATCCATTAAGATGTTAAGCTTAGGGTCAATTCCCGCTAGCTGTTGGTCGCTGGAAAAAAATACATATATGACATGTAACACATATTAAACGGAGATTTTTGATATACAATGATGGTAATGACAATGCTGCTAAAAGAAGATGATTGATAATCCATACTTTTATTTAAAAATTTGGAAGTAAGTTTGTTTGTTGACCACTAAACAGATTTAAAAAAAAAAACACGGATAGAAAGCTACATTATCAGCGAGTAACATAGTCTACTTTTTGACGCAATAACCGACATACACGCGGGCGGAGCTGCGGGCAAAAGCCAGTAAATAAAACATGGCTTTTAATTTTAAAAAGGGAAGATAAGTAAGAAAAAACCGGTCTGGTACGAGTCAAACTCGTTCGCCGAGGGTTCCGTGCCTACTCAGATTTTACGTAAATTTTCACGAAACTTTGTATGTACCAAAATTTATCTTAATTTTCAACTTTTTTTATTTTTTGGTATTATTCCTTTATTTGTGCTGTAAGACATTTCTTTTTGCCAAATTTCGTGATTCTAGGTCAACTGGAATTACCATATAGGTTTTCGACCCAAAACCTATAGGGTACTTCCGGTTGACCTAGAATTGTCAATTTTGGTTAAAAGCAAGGTCTTACAACACAAGTAAAGAGAAAATTCTGAAAAATAAAAAAGTTGAAAAATCGGTGGTGACACACGGACAGACGGACAAGAAAGTGATCTTATAAGGGTTCCTTTTTTACCTTTTGAGGTACGGAATCCTAATAAGGAATATAAGGGTCTTTGAGCGAAAAAAAATGACTAACAAAGAATATAGTGAATTATTCGTTATTACTTACATAAGGCAAACTTTACGCATTGCAATTTGGTAACAGTTACAGTTTAAGGAAATGGGACGTAATAAACTATACAGGAACCTTATTTTTGGCTGACGGGTCACCTGATGGAAAGCGACTACCGCCGCCCATGGACGCCTACAACTCAGGAGTCACGAACGTGTTGCCGGCCTTTAACGATAACATTACATCCATTTGCCTGATTAGGACCATAAATTTACATATAATATAAAACAAAATAGCCAAATCGATTCAGACGTTTCTGAGTATTTTTTATCATTCATTTTTATTTATATAGAAGAGAAATATATGTATAGATTAAAAGAGAATAAGCTTTGTAGTGTGTGGCAAACATCGCTTTTAAAATTTTGTTTTCGTTTTTAAGTACTACACTGTATAGTCAATGTAAAATAACACTTTACAATCTGGCTCCAACATCTGCTTCAAGGACGCCAGCTTCTTCCAAAGTGTCCGGGACATGGTCTTCCTCTGGATCACCCGACATTATAATATTTGATTACACTAAGTTGCTGACACGACAGGTCGTTTTTGCAGTCTGCTAATAGTTCAAAAGTAAAAAGTTATTGTGATACAATTTGATTAAAATCGTCGTCGAAATTCAGTTCAATTACAAAACTGGTTTTGACAGGATTGGCAATTTTATTTTTAATGGTCAAGTTTTTTTTAATGGCCACTTTTTAAATTACTAGCCAGAAATATGATTATACAAAGCCAAAAGAGTAATAATAATAATAATATTTTCGGACATTTCACACACAACTCCATCTAGTTAGCAACTCAGCAGAGCTTGTATTATGAAAGCTTGATTGACTTGATCTACTAATAATAGAATACGACCGGGAATTTTGACTGTGTCTTTGTTGAAATAAGTATCTACTACATACACAACCACAACACTACACAACACAAGACTCCACTCTTATTAATTAATATAACTATAACATAAACGAAACGCTTATGTCTACAATCAGAGACAACTGAATAAGACGGCAAAGTACTACGAGGGCGGGTCAATAAGTCCGTGACTTTTGGAATAAAACAGAGATTTTTTGATAAATAAATCATTTTATTTTTCAACGTACTCTCCTTTTGAGCTCTATACACTTTGTCCAACGCTTCTCCAATTTTTTTATCCCTTCCAAAAAATATGATTTGTCGAGGTCCTCAAAATAGGCCTTTGTTTGCGAGATGACTTCATCATTGGAGTCAAATCTTTTTCCACCAAGCCATTTCTTCAGGTTTGGGAACAAGCAGTAGTCACTCGGAGCCAAATCTGGAGAATAGGGCGGATGAGGGAGCAATTCATAGCCCAATTCATGGATTGGCACACGAAATTCACTTTTGCCCATTTTTTCCTCAAATTACTGGGTAGTCTGATAAAGATAGCTGTCAAACACAAACTAACTGACGCAGCAAGTTCAAATTTTGACAGGAGTCAACTGACAGATGCCTGTTGACAGGAGTAGTGTTGCTTTTTCAGTAAAGAGGTCAGAAATTCAAAAGTCACGGACTTATTGACCCGCCCTCGTATTACAGGACTGCATGGACTGCATGCATCTTGTTATTTTTTTTTTTTTTTGCAAGTACTAATATATCTTTTTAAACTTTAACACATCAATTATGCAGTTCTCGTCAAACTTTCGAGGAGAAGCAGAAACAATCTTAAGGGTCCAAGGCTATACAAGTGCAATGTAAGTTAAAGGCTCATCTTTTAAAGCGCTAAAAGAACTGACTAGCATTGACATCCAGTATACTGGATGAGTCAGTCAGTTTAAAAACACTACTACCACCCATAAATTAAATTAAACCCATAAATTAAAGTTTCATTTAAATTTCTATACCCATTTGGCACCCTTGGGGGTGGAATTTTTAAAAATACCTTCTTAATGCACACCTACGTGACCTATTTTAATAGACATTTGTGCAAAATTTCATGCTTCTAGACCCAGCGGTTTCAGCTGTGCGTTGATCGATTAGTCGGTAAATCAGTCTGTCAGTTACTTCTTTTATAGATATACCTTAGATACATCTTACAAAACTATATACTCGTAAGTACCGGGCCTGGGTAGGTACCTACCTAGTACCTAGTGTACACACCTAAAAATACAGTAAATAAAAGAACAAAAGACGTTGTATACTTTAAATTTAAATATTTATTACGGTTTTTGCTACTAGTATAGTAATATGTTTTGAAAATTCATGTTATTAATTTTATTAAAGCAAAAAATCTACACAATTTTTATGACGTAGATTCATAGGTAATGATTACCTACGAATAAAGTAAACAGCACCATCTGTGGCATATCACAAACATTATTATGATCTGCCAAATCATGACAAACAATCGGAGTACGTTCGGAATTAGCAGTTCCAAATATTTTGTTTCTCTAATGAAAATACTTAAAGTATTAGGTGTGTTTGCTATTTTTAATTGATTTTTACTTAAATTCTAATATCTTGGTATATGAAACAAAAATAAATAAATAACTTTTTTACTTTTAAGACAACGATGACTCATCAACACACGCGTTTTCTGAACGCACTCTCACTCCAGTAAAAGGGTGAGTGAACCGCCTCATTGTTATTTATTGCATTTGCCTCTAATAATACATTAATTAGCCGTTTTACGGGTACAGTGAGTGCAATAACATAGGTCGCGACAGCCATGCCGATGTGAGTAACTCAAAAGGTGTGGCACGACCAGGGGCGTTGTTTCTCATCAAGTGAAATTAGTGGTGTAAAAAATATTCTGCTTAAGGTTCAAGATGACCGAGTACAAATTAGTGGTAGTAGGCGCCGGAGGCGTCGGTAAATCCGCATTGACTATACAGTTGATACAAAATCATTTCGTGGACGAATACGATCCTACGATAGAGGATTCGTATCGAAAACAAGTGGTGATCGACGGTGAAACGTGCTTGCTGGACATATTGGACACGGCCGGCCAGGAGGAGTACTCGGCGATGAGAGACCAGTACATGCGAACGGGCGAAGGCTTCCTGCTGGTGTTTGCAGTGAACAGTGCTAAAAGTTTCGAAGACATTGGCTCATATAGGGAACAAATAAAGCGGGTGAAGGACGCAGAGGAAGTCCCAATGGTGCTGGTAGGAAACAAGTGTGACCTACAGGCGTGGGCTGTGGACATGACGCAAGCGCGCGAGGTGAGTTTGTTTACATAATAAACCACTCATGGCTGACATTCTTTTATCTCATGTTTGATAAATGCCCCTTTTTGATCATCACAAAGAAATACTTAATTATAGTTTAAGCATATTGGGTCTTAATTGGGTAATTGACTCCAATTGTCATAACAAAGGCTTATGTGAAACTGTTTTAATTAATTGTCTTATATAAGCTCATATTTGAAACATCCCCACATTTATGTGTTCGTAATAAAATGTAGACTTGAAAATCCTTTGTGACAAATTTCACACAAAAATTCTTTAACTTAAAATCGGAATGTAAAACCAAAATGTGCTATTGAATTATATCTGTGTTGCCGTTGAAACTGTGAACCGAACATAATAACTTATAACTAAATAATAGTCTAGTCAATACACACATTTGGAAACATTTGAAAAAAGTTGCACTTAAAACAAACATAAAAAAAAAACAATTAAAAAAATTTATGTAATGAAATTATAAGTTAATTTGGTTGATCAATATAACTTTTTCTTTTATTTTTCTACTACTTAGGTTCGGTATTTTTCTTCAAATTTAAATTGGACATAGCAGGAAGTTTACTTCCTGCTATGTCCCATTTAAATTTGCCTTCCAAACAAACAAAATTTTTCTAAATTTGTTAATAAATGTTTTAAGCTAACAAACAGCAAAATACTATCTAAATGACAATCTCCTTTTTTTTTAGTCCAGAAGCTCTACCCACTTGAAATTAGATTCAAACTAATCTGTTCAGAAGCAGGCTAAAATTTATTTTGAACAAGAACGACTGTGACTGATCCTCCAGTGGTTAAACATAGTTTTGACCAAGATTGTTAAATAAAAGTAACCACAAACACAGGTTAGAAACACTTATCATCAATGACCCATTGACCTACGTTCACTTAAAGATACCACCCCTGTGTCACCACCCCTATCCATCCCGTGGGTGTTGTAAGAGCCGACTAAGGGAGTAAACTACGCAGGACAACAGCACTGCAAAGAGAAGGAAAACTTGAAACAAACCCTATACCAACCCGTCTGGCCAGCGTTGTATAGTATGCCAAAACCTACTTTCTAAGGAGAGGCCTATGTTCAGCAGTAGTAAAGTCTGTTGATAATGATTATTGACCTATTAAGGGTTTTGACTGTAACATAAATACATTTAAATGTACAAATTGGCTTGTTTATTCTATCAATATATTATGTGTGTGTGTGTGTGTGTGTGTATTGGAAGCTTAGAGAATCGAACTACACTGAAAATTGAGGATAAACTTGCATGATTCATGTATACATTAAGACACAAAAATAGACTAAAATGAATCAAGCCCCTATGTCAGGACCTTAAAAAATATATAATAAATTATCCAATAATATGAAAAAAGAAAAGAAATTTTGCCGTTCCCAACATAGTCCATAATTGTTTCTGTTTACATTTATAAGACCTGTGTATACATTGCAGTGGATTCCAATAAACCAATTGAATTGAATAATGATGTTAAATAATATTGTATGTCAAATTATACCATTTGATTGCATGGAGCCAATTTCTCTCATCCTTCAAAGATACCTTCTATGTTAACAAGTTTAAGGAGAGATAAATAATTTTAATTAAAACCTTCAAGTCATTTTTTCATAAATAATAATTAAGCAATAAAATTTCCCTCTTTCATATAGTCTGTACCATTAGGGTGAATACTTGACGATATTTTGACTAAAAAATTGATGCTTACCACCAACAAATATGACTAACACGAGCCATTTCTTGACAGTTTATCCACACTCCACTCCACAGTTTATTTATTTTTAATACCCCGCTCCTAATGGTTATAGCTTGATGTTTGTAACCTTTATTATTCCTTAACTAGCTGAGACCCGCGGTGTTACCCGCGTTTGTTGTTATAACCGCGGGCAACGCCGCGGGGCGAAGCTAGTCTAAAAAAAAGTAGCCTAAGTTACTCCTTATGTCATCAGCTATCTGCCAGTGAGAGTCCCGTCGAAATCGGTCCAGCCGTTCCAGAGATTACCCGGAACAAACAGAGAGACAGACAAAAATTTAAAAAAATGTTATTTTGGCATATGTACCATGTAAACATACATATGCATTTAGTAAAAAGCGGTTATTTTAATATTACAAACAGACACTCCAATTTTATTTATTTGTATAGATAAATAATCTATCTAATCCAAAAAGGTTAATTCAAATCTGTCTGACAGAGATTATTAGGTTTAAATAAACAACGCAACTATTCAGCTAGACTAGTGGAGATTATGTCATTATGGCTCTATCCAAAGTTATGAAGAAACAGAAAAGAAATAAAAAGAAGAAAATAATGAGAGAAGCTTAGTTTTAGCAGTGATAGTCATTGTATACAACAACACAATAGGAGACACTAAGGGTTGCGCCTTCTCTTTCTGGAAGAGAACCTTAAAAGTTGGAACTTTATTTTTTTAATGTATCAAATTATATTAACAATAATTCAATCAATTAGGGTTGAATTGCGACCTTTTCGTCCCACTAGTATATTTAAATATTCCTGATACTAATTATCTTGGTACTTTAACCTATACATATATTTTAACAGCAAAATGTCAATGTAATACAAACTTACAATGATATTACTGAATTTTATATTAGATGCTTTATCCATTATTCAAAAATATTCAGACTTATAAATTTTTACTAAAACTCTATAGGTCAATGACTTAGGTAGATCTAAGTATTTCAAATATGATATGCTTGTGTGCCATATGTGTTTAAAAAGGGAACCAACAAAGAATTAAAAATCACATATTAATAAACTGACAATGCCTAACACAAATACTATCGCAATGTTATGCTTTTCTATGCCAAGGAAGAGAGTGTAAACACTAAAAACAATGCTTATTTTGTTGTTGATTATTTCAATGTGAAAATAATATGGTTATAAGTCAAGTGGTTTTTCATGAACAAGTTTTGAACGAACTGCTATTTGTAATTTTGTGCTCCATAGCATACCACATGTAACTGTTTAAGGAAGACTTACTTCCTTACAGTCTGTCTATTACTGCCTCTATCCCATTTAAACATTAGGTATCGGAGAATAATTATAGAATTAAACTTATAATGAAATTAAACAAAAACAAACAAATAATTGAACTGTGTGGATTAAGGATACAGAGTGTCACCACCGCTAATGAACCCATGGGTGTTGTAAGAGCCGATTAAGGGAGCAATCTATGTAGGACAACAGCACTGCAAAGAGAAAGAAAACTTGACACAACCCATCTGGCCAGTGTGGACAGTGCCTGTCCATCATCATCATCATCATCAACAGCCTATACTAGTCCACTGCTGGACATAGGCCTCTCCTTAGAAAGGAGGTTTTGGCCTACTATACCACGCTGGCCAGACGGGTTGGTATAGGGTTTGTTTCAAGTTTTCCTTCTCTCAAGTGCCTGTCCAACAGTGGACAATTAAAGGCTATTAATGATGATGATATAATTTAACCACTCACTAAGTACTAAGTAAATACATACATTTCCTGATAGAATAAAGTAATCAGATTAATGATTACATTTTTTTTTAAATTTTTGTATATGATTCATAGTGAAAATGTTTTCCGATGAAAAAAATTACTCTCTGATGTATATGATAAATATCTCAAATTAAAATCTCAAATATTCTGGAAGTAGAAGCACCTTATTAGTTTATACTGGTAACTTTTTGATAACAAACTTAGTATAAATCATGCAATGGTAACTAAAACTAAACCAAAAAATATTGTTTTAATGTAAATAGCTTTTATAGAAGTGTTAAGTTTAAGAGTTACTTTAGTATTAGAATGCTTTGGATGCAGACTGCCTAAGAATGGGATAGTTGGTGCTTCTTAGGAGAGGCATTAGCTCAACAGTAGACGGCGATCGATTGATGATAGAGCAGAATGCTTCATTTTAAATTATGATATGGCAATGCTATAGGGTCATAACCCTATACCGACCCGTCTGGCCAGTGTGGTATAGTAGGTCAAAACCTGCTTTCTAAGGAGAGGCATATGTCCAGTAGTGGACAAAGAGGCTGTTGATGATGATAATGAATGCTTATGATCTGGATTGCTTACAGGGAATCACTTTTAGCAGTACCTATTGCTAAAACTTGACTTGACTTCTAGCCATTGGCCACCACTTCTAGGCAGACTAATTGCCTACTACCACCAGTATAACTAATAATGTAGGTCCTATAGTGTTGTTAAATTATTTCAATATTATATATATATATCTATATATATATATATATATATATATATAGTATTAGCTAAATTCGATTTTACTGCAATTTGATTTTCTTTTGGCCATATATTGGTCTCATAATTAAAAATGTTTACACCTAAGCGCACATTAAATCGACCACTGCCTGGCCCTTAGTCTTTTTTATCGCTCGTTAGTTACCATGGTAGTTTTTCAAATTCTAGAGGTCAGGCTAAGATAGTTTTTATGACAAAAAAAAATATTGCTAGAGAAGAGAAGAAGCTTTGTAGGTTAAAATGTGTGACTAAGAACAGAGATTACTCAGACGTTAACCCCTGACCGTGACAATATAGTGTTAAGCGAATCTCTCCTATGAGTAATCAACCCGTCCTCGTTCCCGACACGTGATCAGTTAAACAGTCACTTGAAAGCTTTAGTGCACAAGTACCTAAACAATTGAATCTCAATGGTACCGAGAAGTGACTGCACGGATGGCGTTGTGGTTTAAGTGGTCACCTCGCCGCTGTGGATTGATCCCCACATGGGAAAACACTTTGTGTGATCCACAAATTGTTGTTCTGAGTCTGGGTGTTCTTCATGTGTCTATTGTGTCCGTTACATCTATGTTTGTAAATTCCCCCGCTACACAAGATATATTCCTAGTGCGGAAGTTGTCTTTTTAAAAAACAAAAAAGAAGTTTCGGCTATCTAGCCTTAAAATCAAAAAGAACGTTGACAGGTTTTAATTTCCGTCCAAAATTTATAAAGATCAAAG